ATTTTTATTTTAGATTCCATCTTACTACTTGTCTTTAACATATGATTAATTGTCCCCATTAAAATATTTTAGGACAGAAAGAGGGTAACTTATGTCAAATTTTCCTTCTACACTTCATCATCTGAACCCCTGATTAAGTAAAGAAGGAGTAAAACCCACATAAAAATTGATGGTATCAAGCCAATCTATATATAAATTTTCCTGGTACTCTGTGGCAGAGGTCCGCTAGACCCCAATATAAATACATGCACAATATTTAAACAGTAATCACAGAGACCGTTAATTATGTACCCGAGGAAGGCTGAAATAGCTGAAACGCGTTGTGCTTTTAGGATCCACTGCTGCACCAAGTGTTCTTATATGTATCTGTCTATATTCATCTCTTCCTGGGAGGATATCAGACTGGGATCCTGATCTTTGGAACCACCACATCCCTACTACGCTGTATTACTTTTTGTATTACTATTGAAAATGTGAGTGGGATTTGTATCTATTCTTGTATATATAATATTCTCTGTCACTCCTGCACATTACTATATTGCCCTTTGTTGAGTATTCTCTTTTTCAGATATCTGGGAGAACCATTACAGGGTATTTTTAGCTTTCTTTTTTTTTTACTAAAGTGTGTTCACTGTTTATGGTTTTATAGTGACACATATAAGTGCGCTTTCCACTTTTTTTGTTTAGTTTTTATGTATTACAGTGGAAATTAGTGATTGTTTTCACGGTGGAACATAGCAGCACTAAGCTAAACATTCATAGCGCCTTTTAATACCCACTTGTTACTTCTATTGTACGTGTATAATGTTGTTCCTCATTATTGTGTGCATTTGCCTGGTTATCTTACTCTCAGCATGCAGATTGCAACAACATTTTTATATCACACCGCTACAGAGTAATAAAAAACACAGTTGTCATTTGTAGGGTGTTTGAATTAATATTTTTTTTTACCTGCCAAAAAATTAGGGAATGTCCTTCCCAAATTCAGGTTCTGGACTTATCCCTGAAACAAATGTAAATAGCTGATCATGTAAAACCCAGGAACAAGAAGATAGTAGACTATGCTGGTAGCAGCTGGATCAGCAAACACAGCTCACAGAGGTTAAAACCTGTTTATGTCTACCCCGAGGATTAAGAGAAAATATTATATTTTTTTTCAGGTTTGTCTTGCATGAGTAAAAGGAATGCTATTTATCTCCAAGGATTAGCATTTACAGACACACTAATTTAATCTTTTTGATTGTATGCTGGTTGCATATAATTGCTAAACTATATCATTTATTTATTATGTGTAACTTAGTATTACATATAATAAAAAACATAAACTCAACAGTAAACAGTAGTACCAGGATACTTTAATCTTCAGAGTTGTCATTTAGTTTTGTCAATGACTATGTGTCCTGCATAGTGTGTAAAATCATTGGGCCTGAAAAGTTATACTGCTTTAGGGGAAAAATATTTTCCAGTGATGGCCACTGGAGAGAATGCAAATTTAAGTTATTAAAAGACTCATTTGCCTGTGATCCCTGGTTCTTTTCCTATCTACACTACCTAGGACTGTTCTTCTTGTACATGTTAGAACCTTTTCTTTTTGGCGTAACTGGGGCTTTTATCTCCTTGGCCTGATGGAAATTCAGCCTCTCTCCCCATAGAATCTTCACTACACTGTGCCTTCCGAAGAGCGACCCCATGCTGGATCCCTTTATTGACCAGTGGTGTAAGCAGCAGTGACACTAGGTTGGTAGCTCGGAACTATGGAGACAGGGTAAATCTGGCAAGGTGTCTGTTATTTCTAAGAGGAATGTTTTCTAAGTAACTTCCAGCATTTGGGGGATTATTAGGAAGTCTGTACAACAATGGCTGCAGTCTTTTTCCATGCTGGCCAGCACCCTCTATCAACCTTTATAGGTTTTCTTGCAGAAGAGCTCTTGTTTCAGAAAGATTGATATCTGTCAAGCTAAAGAAATATTATCAAGATTCAATTTTTGTTTTTCATTGAGGATTAAGGAAATATCCATAGCAGTTTATAGTGTTCTTTTTTCAATATCTTTTTTCAACAAAAATGAAATGAAAGAAGGGAGGAGAAAGTCAAGTCCTTAACATAAAAGAGGTATAAAATAAAAACAGCAGTTAAGTACTTAAAGGATTTTGTAATGTCTCTGAGGGCGCACTCTTTCCAAAATCAAAGAGCAGGAAAGTTGGTTAAAATGTAGTGAGGATGGTTTCACCATCAAATGGCAGATAATGTCCACTCCATATTTCTATGACTGTATTGACAATATTTTCTTTTTTTTTTTAATTTAAAATTTTTATTTAAGCTTGTACAGGGTGTTACAAGGTGCTAATATATGGTTTCCAGGCTGAAAACAAATTGGTTAGTCTTTCTTCTCTAGAAGCAATCTGTTTTGAAGGTGTGTCATAGTCTGGTGTTAAAGTGGGTAAGCTAGATGGTCTAGTATTCGTGCACATGCAGGGCCAGTGGAAGGATTTTTGGCACACTAGGTAACGATCCATGTTGCTGGCCACTCATGAATGCAGCTACATTCTCTATTAAGTTTACTTATTAAGCTCTGAATTGAAAAAAAAATAGGCAAAAACAGCAGACTTGTGACCATGCAATGGCCTATTTTGGCCTAAATTGTGCATTTTGCTTTTCAGTTTGTAATTTGGTCTATCAGCTGTACTTCCCTTCCTCTATTTCTATTTCCTGTATGTTGCAGTCTCTATGTTCATGCTTGGGGCTGGACGGTTAAGAGTTTGATGATGCAATTTACTTTATGTATGGGAAAGGTGTCAAACCTGTGAAATTCATACACTTATTTTGTCCAGTACTTGTTGCATGCCTCTTCTTTCCTCACTCTGTGACTTGTAAATAAAAATAATTACAAAATAGAAATAATAAAATAAAATGAATTTTTATTTATACCTAGAGGTATTTAAAACTATTCTTAGTCAAGTTTGTGCACCCATTCGTATAATAGTTGGGGTAACAGGGAGCACATACATTGCTGCTTACTAGCGCCCGGTAGAACACCGGTCCGGCAGCATCTACCTCAGCCCTCAGAGCCAGGCCCCCCTCCCAGACATCCATTGTGGCAGCAGCATGATGGTGCTTCCACTGCTCGCTCCCGCCCCTTGCGGAGAGGTTGGCAGGAGCATTACAGGAAATGTGGCAGAAAAGAAGTGATGGACTGCCAGGCACAGGCAAGATTAAGAACAGTAATGGAGGTAAGATGTGTGCCAGAGAATGTGTGTTAGTCTGCTTTAGTCAGTATGTTTGTGTGTGCCAGTCTGTATGGATCAGTGCGTGTGTCTGTATGGGTTACTGTGTATCTGTATGGGTCAGTGTATGTGTCTGCATGGGTTATTGTGTGTGTGTATGGGTCAGTGTGTGTCTGTATGGGTTATTGTGTGTCTGCATGGGTCAGTGTGTGTCTGTATTGGTCAGTGTGTGTCTGTATTGGTCAGTGTGTGTGTATTGGTCAGTGTGTGTGTGTGTCTGCATGGGTCATTGTGTCTGCATTGGTCAGTGTATGTCTATATGTGTGTGTGTGTGTCTGCATGGTTCAGTGTGTGTATATAGGTAAGTGTGTTCCTATCTGCTTGGGTCAGTGCATGTGCGTCAGTTTGCATGTGTCAGTGTGTGTCTACTTGAGTCAGTGTGTGTAAGTCTGTATGAGTGGATAGAGTGAATGGGGTGGCAAAATTTGTTTTGCCTAGGGCAGCAAAAATGCTTGCACCAGCCCTGTTCACAGGAGCCACACTTTTTTAAAGACTGCTGAAATTTTTATTTTTATGCATGCTTGCAGTCTGACCACCAGGCAAACACAGGAATATTGTGCTACACCCACATAGCCTAGATTATGTTTTAAAATGTTTTATTTTATTTTACTATACTGTTGCCTCCCTGGTATGATGGGTGGCTAATCCAACCTTCCGTTTAATGTCTGCTCTGTGGCCAGTTCTGTAATGTTAGTCCAGCTCCAGTAGATTACAATACCAGCTCCATTTAGCAGTAATGAAATGGTAGTGTCCAGGTAGGTGTACACTGGCCCAGATAAACTATAACCCCAGCCACCATAGTAAATATGGTAGTATTGAGTTAAATTGCCGTGGACTGAGAGAATAAGGTTGAAAACAGTTTAGTATTAGTAATAATGAAAATAGTTTAGTACAAGCATGTCAGACTTGCAGCCCACGGGCCGCATGCCCCAAAATCACTATATTTGCAGCCCATCTGCCATGGGGCCACTTTGTGCAGTGGCTGTGACTAATTCTTCTCTTCCCTCCCACAGCTGATCTCGTGCTCCCGCAGCCACAAGCAGAGCAGACCAGCCACTCCCCCTTCCCTCCTGCTTGCAGTGCCAGAGGAGCATCTGGTCTGCTTAAGCAGAGGAGATCAGAACTGGAACTGGAGGATGGGGGCTCATCTTAAGATAGGAGAAGAGGAGCTTGGGGGACTTCCTGTGTAGTGTGTTAAATTGGGGAGGTGGGCAGTGTATTAATTTTAGGGAGGGAGGGGGAAGTGTATTAATTTGGGGGAAAGAGGGGGGCAGTGAATTAAATTGGGGATGGGTGGTAGTGTATTAATTTAAGGGAGGGAGGGGGCAGTGTATTAATTTGGGGGAGGGATGGGAGCAGTGTGTTAAATTGGGGGAAAGGAAGGGGCAGTGTATTAGAGTGGTGAAAGGGGGGAGAGTGTGTTAAATTGGGGGGGCAGTGTATAAGAGTGGTAGGAGGGGGGCAGTGTGTTTAATTGGGGATGGCAGTGTATTAGAGTGGTGGGAGGCGGGTAGTGTTTTAAATTGGGGGAGGGAGGACAGTAATAAATTAGTGGTAATTGTGGGACCAGTGTATTCAATTAGAGTGGAGGGACACTATTAGAGTGGAAGGAGGGGGCAGTGTATTAGAAAGAAAAATAAATAGGTATGATAAATAAATAACGGCTAGATAACGCCAAGATCCCCTTAGGGGATCCCCCCATGTGCCTTCATGGGCACCTAAAGCTAACCCCACTAGAGGATTCCTAAAAGAACATCAGAAAGAAAAATAAAAAGGTATCTAGCCGTTATTTATTTATCATACCTATTTATTTTTCTTTCTGATGTTCTTTTAGGAATCCTCTAGTGGGGTTAGCTTTAGGTGCCCATGAAGGCACATGGGGGGATTTAGCACGTAGGATCAGCGTATCTTCTCTATCTTTGTTTTTTTCACTTCATCATTTTATTATTTAGACGTATTGGCAATTTAGTTTTTCGTTCACAACCCCTCTAGGTCTGTAGCATGCTCTGCAGACGCTGATGTGGAGACTGTGATATAGATAGTCTTATCATCATTTATTATTCAGCCTTTCATTTCTGTTTATTTATCGAATTATTTAGGATTTTTGATTTTGTTACATTATTGAGTACCTTAGTGCCACGCATTGGCAACACAGTATCTAGCATCTATGTAGCAGTTTCTGCAAATGTACACGTGGTGATTATGATACGAATAGTCCAGCAACAATCTGATAATTCTATTTATTAGTTTGTTATCTAGTGATCATAGATTGAGATTAGAATTTTTCTATAAAGTCACTATATACTTAGATCCTCTCTCCCCTCTGCTTCCCTTTTTACACAATACAGACGTGTGCTGTGTTGAGCATTGACATACTTTTAAGACATTAGTATTTACTTTATATCACTTAGATGTGTCTCTTTTGTGGTTTTTAACTATATACATTTTCTTTTTTCATTGTAGGATCCATTTTCATTATTATGTTTTGTTTTTTTATCTCAGTATACCTAATAAAGTTATTTATTATTTTTTATTTTTACTTTGCCTTTAGACCCAGTGGCCTTTTTCCATGCCACATTCTTACACTTAGTAGTCTAAAAATAACCTCCCTCCAATTTTGTAGGTACACTTTCTCCCTTGTTTGTAATTTATTTCTACTAGGGGTTATCCCCCTGTCTTTGGTGTACCTTGGCTGTATTCGAATAGTTCGGCTGTTTAGAAGACAACCGTGTATTTTATATGTGTATGTAATTGAGACAATAAAAATAAATCTAAACAGATAAAAAACATGAATGAATTAATTTAATAATAACATCTATACAATTGGATAAATTGAAAGGAAAAAGTTGATTAAACTCTATAAAAATATTTGCAGAATTTCATGTTGGTTATGTTATGCACACATCATTAAATTAATTAAACAAAAAAATATACGTTTAGACAACCAAATCTAAGAAGAGCTACATAATTTCATGAATTCACAACCAAGGCCAGCATTGATATCACTTTTGGCAGCATATACAAGTTTTATCAAACCAAATATTTCTAATTTCACTCAAGATACTATGATATTGTATACATTTCAAACAAGATGGATGATATTGCATTACCATTTGTTGGATTTCTGAAAAGAAACAAAAAGAAAAGCACTGCATACAGTACCACCTATGATTAGTATACAACTCAAAAATGTATTATGGATTTTTTTCGAATATTTCTATTTTTTAAAAACATTATTTTGATTTATTATTGATTTAGATTATAAAATTACCGTGGTCACCTGGAGTGACGACCATGTAATAATGCGGCCCTGGCCTACGTGGTGCAACCAACAGAGGCGCATTGAAATGGCCCATCAGGGGGTCCATGCAGTTAGGGCCACCCGATGGCAATTAATTTTCTGGTGACCTGGTCAGCACTACGGTGCTTTAACAGCGTGACCGGGCCCCCTGTGATGAGGTCAGAGCTGGGATGAAGTGATGGCTCTGGTAACTTCCTCCCAGCTATCATATAGAGTCGTGTGGGAGGAGCAAGAGAGGAGGGAGTCAGAGTTCACACTCTTACTCCCATCAGCTGGAGCCAGCCACTGGACCTCAGGGAAGTCACCTTCCTGCACCTAAATGGTAGGAAACAAGAGGGTGACTAAAACAGTCAGCATTTGTGTGTGTTTGTGTATCTGTATGTATGTATATGTGTGTGTCATTCTGTCTGTAGGTGTGTTTGTATGTGTCTGTATGTGTGTGTGTATGTGTCTGTATGTATGTGTGTGTCATTCTGTCTGTATGTAAGTGTATTTGTATGTGTCTGTATGTATGTGTCTCTGTATGTATGTGTCTGTATGTGTGTCTGTAGATGTGACTAAAGAGGGTGACTAAAACAGTATGCATTTGTGTGTGTTTGTGTATCTGTATGTATGTATATGTGTGTGTCATTATGTCTGTAGGTGTGTGTGTATGAATATGTGTGTATTTATGTGTGTGTCTACATGTGTATCTGTTTGTCTATATGTGTGTCTATATGTGTATCTGTATGTCTGCATATCCATATATCAGTGTCTGCCTATGTATCTGTATGTGTGTCACTGTTTGTATCTATATGAGTGTCATACTGTTTGTATCTGAATGTTTGTTATTTAGTGCCTGTTTATCAGCATGTGTGTCTGTATGTGTTATGTGGTGTGTATCTTCATGTATGCCAGCGTTTATTGTTTATCTGCATGTGTGTCTGTATAACTGTCACCCCAGCACACACACTGTCACCCCTCTTCACCCTGCCTCACTCACAATAACTCCCCCAATCATGTCACTCACCCATGCCATACTCACCTCCCATCACACTCGCCTTCTCTAGCACTGTTACACTCATTCTCCATCACTCTGTCACACTTGCCCCCTTTCACCCTATCACATGAAACGCCCCAATTCTGTTATACTCATCCCCCCAACCATGCCACATTCAACCTGTGGGATGTGAATGAAACACATGGAGGGGCTGGGGGCGTGACTGTGACACATGGGGGGGCTAGAGGCAGAAAGAGAAAAGTATGGGGGGTGGGGGGCCCAGAGCAATTTTCACGCCGGGGCCCTGTGGTTTCTATTTATGGCTCTGTTTCCATACATATAGTGTCTAATAAAATCCTAAGTACAATTTATTTTCTCATTTTCGTGTTTTCATGTTTAGACTAGCAGCTCTTTGACTCCTAGTCTGTCAGTTTCTCTTGAAATCCCAATCAGCTTCTCTTTTGATATATTCAGTGTAAAGTAATGATTCTCTAAGAGCTGAGAAAGGTAGTGCATGTATCTGGTGATGTCATCACCGACATGTCCCTTGTGCTTGTATATGTGTGTCTGTGTATCTGCATGTGTGTCAGTATTTGTATCTGTTTATTTATACAAATATAGTGTATCTGTATGGGTCAGTGTGTGTGTGTGTATGGGTCAGTGTGTGTCTGTATGGGTTATTGTGTGTCTGCATGGGTCAGTGTGTGTCTGTATTGGTCAGTGTGTGTGTATTGGTCAGTGTGTGTGTGTGTCTGCATGGGTCATTGTGTCTGCATTGGTCAGTGTATGTCTATATGTGTGTGTGTGTGTGTCTGCATGGTTCAGTGTGTGTATATAGGTAAGTGTGTTCCTATCTGCTTGGGTCAGTGCAAGTTTGTTTCTGTTTGTATCTGTATTTGTGTCAGTGTTTGACACACATTCAGTTACATAGACACACTACACACAGACAGATACAGAGATACAGAGTCTGTGTTTCTGCATGTGGCAGTGTTTTATTTGTGTGTCTGTATCTGCATGTGTGTCAGTGTGTGTATCTGTATTTGTATGTGCGTCAGTGTTTGTATCTGTGTATCTGCATGCATGTCAGTCTGTCTGTGTAACTGTATGTACGTCAGAGGGGCATAGCGAGTCTGGGCCAAAGAGGAGCAGAGAGAGGCAGGGGCAGAGAAGAAGCATGTAGAGCCCAGGCAGAGGAAAAGCAGGGAGACCCTGGGGCAAAGGAGAAGCCGGGAGAGTCTGGAAAAGGAGCGAGATCTTAGGGCAGTGGCGTACACACGACCCATGGGACCCCGGTGCGAAAATTGATCCGTGGGCCGCAACACATGGTGGCGGGCACCTGGTCGCGATCGCGGTATGTACGCCAGTGCATGCAGATGCACACACACTTAAAGGACCACTACAGACACCCAGATTACATCAGCTCAATGAAGTGGTCCGGGTGCCAGGTCCCTCTAGTTTTAACCCTGCAGCTGAAAACATAGCAGTTTCAGAGAAACTGCTTTGTTTCACTGAGGATTAATCCAGCCTCTAGTGGCTGTCTCACTGACAGCCGCTAGAAGCGCTTCCGCAATTCTCACTGTGAAAATCACAGTGAGAAGACGCTGGACGTCCATAGGAAGGCATTGAGTAATGCTTTCCTATGGGCAGTTTGAATGCGTGCGTGGCTCTTGCCGCGCATGCGCATTCGGAGCTGAAAGGCGGATCGGGGAGGAGGGATCCCCAGCGCCAAGGGAGTCCGGCGCTGGAGAAAGGTAAGTGCTGAAGGGGTTTTAAACACACACACTCTCATAAACAGATGCATACACACTAGCTAACAGACACACACACATTTACTGACAGAGACACACTCAGTGACATACATACATACTCACTGACAGACAGACACACATACACACTTACAAAACATACACTCTCACTGACGAACACACACTCACTAACAGACATCAAACAGACTCACTAACAGACACACACACACAAACACACTCAGTAACAGACACACACAGTAACACACTCACTGACACACACACACACTGACAAACAAACACACACACTGACACTCACTAGCAGACACACATTCAATAACAGACACACAAACTAACACACTCACTGACACTCACTAGCAGACACACACACTAACACACACACACACACACTAATACACATGTTTTTTTTTAAATTTAATCCCCCAGCCTCCTTACCTTTGGAAGAGCTGAGGGGATTCCCTGGGGTCCAGTGGTGCTGCTGGGCGTCCTGTCACCGGGTGGGCTGTCTGTCTGCATGGCTGTCTGGCGCGTGAGGGAGCACTCTCCCCTGAGCGCTCTTTGCCCAGCTCCCTCGTGCACCGCAGTGATGCCGGAGCTGGAATATGACGTCATATTCCGGCATAAGTGCGGTGCGCGTGAGGGAGCTGGGCAGAGAGAGCTCAGGGGAGAGTGCTCCCTCGCGCGCCCGCAGGACTGGCCGCCCGGTGACACCAGGGCCACTGGCGTGCATAGCGGGTCGTAGGGCGGCCGGGCCCCCTGGTGGGCCGGGTCCAGTCGCAGCCACGACCCCTGCGACCCCAGTATGTACGCCAGTGTC